CTGCCCCCTGACAGCCCCCCCCCAGAACTCCCAGCCCATCTAAACCCCTCTGCTCCCTGTCCCCTGACTGCTCCGATCCCCCTCCCCTCTCCTGCCCCCTGACAGCTCCCCCCCAGAACTCCCAGCCCATCTAAACCCCTCTGCTCCCTGTCCCCTGACTGCTCCGATCCCTCTCCCCACTCCTGCCCCCTGACAGCTCCCCCCCAGAACTCCCAGCCCATCTAAACCCCTCTGCTCCCTGTCCCCTGACTGCTCCGATCCCTCTCCCCACTCCTGCCCCCTGCCCCCCCTTACCCTGCTGCTCAGAACAGGGTGTTGGGCTCTGTGCCAGCCGGACACATGGCTGAGCTCCCCTGCACAACACAAAACCCGGTCCCTGGCCCTGCACAGGGTTGCCGGAGCGAGCTGCAGGAGGAGGAGCTGCCGGCCGGCTCAGAATGCAGGGAGAGGGGGGTGGGAGGAGGAAGCTGCTCCGGAGTCCAGCCCGGGACTTTCCTGCAGCCCTCCCAGCCGCTCGCTCTGCCTGGGGGGAAATCCCGGACATTGTGAGTGCTTTACAAATTCCCCCCGGACGCTATTTTTAGCACACAAAAGGAGGACATGTCCGGGTAAATCCGGACGAATGGTAACCCTACAGGCAGGGGGCCTATAACGTGAGCCCCGATGCCCAGGGCTAAAGCCCTCCGGCTTCAGCTTTGACCCCAGGAAGTGGGGCTCGGGCTTCGGCTTTGGCCCTGGGCGGTGGACTCGGGCTTTGGCCCTGGGCCCCAGCAAGTCTAAGACAGCCCTGGTGACCCCATTAAAACGGGTTCACAAACCACTTTGGGTCCTGACCCACAGTTTGAGAACCACTGCGCTAAGAGAATGAGCCTAGTGGAACTTAAATATTCCACTTGTTAAATATATATTTTTCACCAGCTGGACAACCGAGCATTTTGCATTTTAATTTATTTAAATCCAATAGCTCTACATTCCACACACACCCCTCTCCAGTTCTTGCTTTATATTCAAATTGAGGATGGACACATGTCTAACGCTCAGCTAGCGCACTGGGCTTTGGTATTGCGTGACAAAGATATAACAGTGACCCCAGTATGGACCTTAGCTCCATTGCTGGATGCCCTGTTGTATTCTGGGAACCTTCATGTGTACCCAGAGGATGATTAAGGAAAAACCTTGACCCAGTTTTTCACATTAATACTTCCCAAAATAAAAATCTTCGAAGCATATTGCTCTTTCCTAGATCAATCCAACCATTACGATCAGGAAAAAAACAATATCTACTTATTATTGATCCATTCTCCAAATGGGTGGAAGCTTTTCCCCTTAAGCTTATTTAGATAAAAGCCAAGGAGAGAATGCTGGGGAAACTGGAGTTCAAGTTATGCTCCTATCATATGCTGTATAGAACATGATTTATGTACGCAATGAACTCGGGCACACTATATTATGAATAGACTCAGTTTCCTTTGTATAAAGAGTCAGAAACAAACAAAAAAATAGAATTAAAGTTGTACTGAAAAAGAAATATGGCTCTGTAGCCCAATGGTTAGAGCGCTCACCTGACAGATCCCAGTTCCACTCCTTTCTCCGCCTCCATTGGGGGGAGGACTTGAACCAGGGGTCTCTTACATCCCAGGTGAGTACCCTAACCACTGGGCTAAAAGTTATGAGGAAAATGCTTATTCCCTCCCCTCCCACCCGCCCCAATTAGCTTTTTGTGTAAGTTTCTCTACAGGGGCTGATCTGGTAAGCAAGGTCCAGGCACGCTTACCATATCAGGTCCCACAGGTGAGTTAGGTGCAGGAACGCCTGTTTCCCCTTGGACATGAAATGCTCTGGCCTGGCATGGGCCTGCAGTGCACATGCTCAGAGGTAGAAACATAGGAGCCTGGGGAATTGGTTACTGCAGAAATGTAGGTGCCGAGTGAGTTTATGCGCCTACAGCGTTCACAGGCTGCTGAGCAGGGGCTCTATGAATCCGGGGTGGGGGCCTCATTCTGGGACTGAGATGCCTAAAGTGGCAGCTAGGGATAGGTCGATATCAGCTGTCCTGGCAATCTCTGGGAAGAGATGAACAGCGTTCTGCTTGGGAGGCTCGCCTGATGTTATGAACAGATCGTCTGAGCAGTTGTGTCAACAGAGGATGGATCTTTACAATCAACAATCAGGGATGTTTGCACTCTATGGAAATAGTTGTGGTCAATGTATTTTATGATGTAGATGTGAGCAAAATAAGCAGATTTTTTTTGTTTTCACTACACAGGGTTTTAAATATTTCTGTAGTTTCCCCGTCCCAAAAGCTTTTATAATTTTATAACAAATTAAAGCTCTAAAATCAACTCAACAGAAAATATTGGACTTTTCGTTCTGTGCACCCCCAGATTCTACACAATTTGCATAACAAAAGTACCTAGAGCTCCCAACCCAGATTGTGGCCCCGTTGTGCTAGGGGCTGTACATAGGGAGGCTGTGCCAATCCCCAAAAGCTTACAGTCTAGGGCAGACAAAGGCTGGTAGAAGAAAGAGAGATAGAGTGACTTGCCCATTGTCACACACAGCAGACCAGGGGCAGAGCTGGGATGAAAGCCTGGGTCTCCTCATTCCCAGCCAGCTGCCTTATCCACTGGCCCACCCTCCCCCTCGGTTCCATAGGTACTGGACAGATGGAACTGTGGGCAGATTTGTATCATTGTTTAAATCGCTGTGCGACCTGTTGTCTAGAGATAAATGCAGCAAGAGTGTCTGTAATTAGGATAATGAAGAGTAAGAATTGAATGATGTTACAATACCTGACTTTCCCAAGTGTGTCTGAGTCCCTGGCAGGCTGCTGGCCCGAGCAAGAGATGGCTGCAGTTGTAGAACTTAATCTGCAGTGTTCAGAACACGGGAAATAGTTTGACTTTATCTCCCTGCAGACTTTCACTTTCAGAATGAACTACGTTTTTTTTTTTAGGAAATAAGGGTCTGAGCTAAATCCCACTGAAGCCAATGGAAAGACTCTCATTGATTGCAATGGGCGTTGTACCAGGCCTGTACAGAGTCAAACCGTTACCATGAGCTAGGGCCAGGGCTCCTGAGTATTCCCAATAACAACTGTTCCCAAACGTATCCACAAAACTACCCCCGTTTTATCCTCTGTGCTTCC